ATGACGTTATAAGTTGCTGGGGTGGGGCATTAATACAAACTTGTTTCTGTTCCCCGTATGGACAGGAAACCAGTCATAAGAAAAACAAGGAGGGGGCTCGTCAAGGATCAGCCATTGCTGGCCCTTTTACTGCAAACCCAAGTCCCTGACCAGAACAAAGCTCAACATAAAGGACCTGTGAGTTCCCTCTGACTTTTTTGGTCTGCACAATCAGAGACTAAAACCATCGGCTCAATATAACAGCCGGAAAATGACCATTTTCAGCAGGAGATCAGCAATGGCAGCCCCCAGATTTCTCTAATGGCTGGTCGCTTCTGTTGTAAAGCCGACAGTCGGCTCTACAAGTTTAAACAGAGTCCCGGCGGCAAAAGTCACCGGGAGTCTGTTTAAACAGCCCCGATGCTGGCGACGTACACTGTACGTCGTCAGTCACGAAGGGGTTAAAAAAGGAGGTCAATTACAAGGTGATAGTCCACAGAAGAGAAACTACAGACAAGAGGATACACAGATGGCCCAGCTACAGCTCAGAAGAGACACGAGGTAGACCACGTACAAAGACAGACAAAAGAATAGCCGTTTCTATATACGTATACTACTGTGCAGACAGAGCTGACATAACCCCACATGACACGACTGGGCAGAGTTTCTGGAAATGTATAATAAAGGCTCAAATCAAGATAAGGATCTTTTTTTCAGTCTAGGGCTGAAACCACTAATCGATAAAAATCGATAATGACATTGTCAACGATTCTCATTATTGATTAGTTGATTTTCGATTAGTTGCCGCTCTGCTCCTCCGTTCTCCTCCCCACTGGTGCTGTCTGCAGCGGTCTGTGTCCCTTTCAATCCCCGCTGCTCCCCCCGCCTGTATTGACAGAGGCAGTGGGGACACGGACCGCTGCAGCCAGCACCAGTGGGGACGAGAGACTGTGGTGACTCTGCATTCCCCTATTGCTGCTTCAGTCCTCCTCTGCCCACCCATGCCCCCTCGTCTGCTGGTGTTCTATCAATCCCTCAGAGGGATTGATAGAACACCAGCATCAAGTCTCCTATCAGTGGCTGGAAACAATAGCCAGCCTGCTATTAGATATTTTTAATTGCAATAGCCCATAGCAGGATGGCTATTGCACCCGCCCACTGCCTGCTGTCAATCAGGCAGTGGGCGGGTGCAATAGCCAGCCTGCTATTGTAATTTAAAATAGCCAATAGCAGGCTGGGTATTGCTCCCAGCCACTGCATGCTGTGTTTACATTCAGCTGCCTCAGCAGGCAGCTGTCATTCCCCAGTGAAGTGGAAAGGTGACATTAGGGGTGGAATAGACCACCTAATGGCACCTTAAAGAGCACCTGTCATCTTAAATGTGCTATCACATAAGGGGCTTGTGAGCCACCCCATGCATATAGAAGCAATTGAGCTAAAAAAGAAAAAAAATTAATTAAAAATACTCCTAAAAAAGTCCCCCGACCCCGCAAACGCTCGCATACTAACGGAAACACAAGTCGGGTGCACCCATGTATGAAAACGACGATTACGCTACACATTCATTTCAATGTCACCCCTAAAACGCCTCCCGCCCGCACTCTAACGCACGGTACTGCAGTGCCGTGCGATTGCAAAAAATTTGCCTACTGTTTTATTCTGAAGTAAACTTTGTAACACTCCATTTGTGTATTTCATGTTAAATTAACAAATGGTATTTTTTTTTTCTTTACCCGATTAAATAAAAAATGAAAAAAACAAAGCCTACTATTGTAATTTGAAATAGCCAAGGTATCTATTGTTCCCAGCCACTGCTGGACGTACACACATACTATCGGAAACACAAGTCGGAGGCATCCACATACGAAAATGACTATTGCCCAACACGTCAGGTATTGTTGTGTGTGCCAGAGTGCAAGCAATAATTATTGGGCCAATATTCATGGCCAACGCTAAACTGATGCCCGGGTGCGACGTATATCTAAAATTAAATTTTTCTGTCCAATTTTGGTGTGCAATTTTAAATAAGAGATTGGTTATTTTATTATATTGGCTTGGAGCTTTTCAATTCAGATTATTTTAAATCCATGAAACGAATTAAAATGCCTAATTAAATAATTACAAAACAAAAAGTGGCATTTTTGCTTTCGGCCTGACAAATTCTACTGTGGTGCCATTCATTTCATAGCGTGTGATTGCAATTCTGAATAATACATACATACATTTTTTTTTTTATTACACAACTACACTGGAAAATTATTGTTTGATCCCCTGCAGATTTTGTAACTTTGCACACTTACAAAGTAATGAAAGGTCTATAATTTTTATCATAGGTGTATTTTAAAATGATAGAGATTGAATATCAACCAAAACTCCAGAAAAAAAACATGATACAAATGTTAGAAATGGAGTTGCAGTTCAGTGAAAAAAATAAGTATTTGATCCGCAAGCAAAACATGACTTAATACTTGGTGGAGAAACCCTTGTTGGCAAGCACAGAGGTAAGACGTCTCTTGTAGTTGGTTACCAGGAGGGATTTTGGTCCACTCTTTACAGATCTTCTCTAAATCCTTAAGGTTTCTTGGGTGCCGCTTGGCAACTCGAAATTTAAGCTCCCTCCATATATTTTCTATAGGATTAAAGTTTGTGCTTCTTCTTGAGCCACCGCTTTGTTGCCTTGGCGGTATGTTTTGGGTGATTGTCATGCTGAAAGACCCATCCACGACCGATCTTCAGTGTTCTGGCTGAGGGAAGGAGGTTGTCATCCAAGATTTTACAATTCATGGCCCCGTCCGTTGGCCCCTTAATGCAGCAAAGTCAGCCTGTACCTTTAGCAGAGAAACGGCCCCAAAGCATAATGTTTCCACCTCCGTGCTTGACTGTAGGGATGGTGTTCTGAGGGTCATAGTCAGAATTTTTCTTCTTCCAAACATGGCGAGTCGCGCTAATGCCAAAGAGCTCGATTTTGATCTCATCTGACCGCAGCACTTTCCCCCAATCCTTCTCTGAATCATTTAGATGTTCATTGGCAAACTTCAGACGGGCCTGTACATGTGTCTTCTTGAGGGGGACCTTGCGGATGCTGCCGGATCTCAATCCATGGCGGTGTATTGCGTTACCAATGGTTTGTTGGCGACTGTGGTCACAAATGCCTTGAGATCATTCACAAGCTCCTCCCATGTAGTTCTGGGCTGATCGCTCACTTTTCTCATGATCATCCTTACCCCATGAGGTGAAATCTTGCATGGAGAACCAGGCCGGGGGGCGATTGATGGTTATTTTGTATTTCTCCCATTTGCGAATAATCGATCCAACAGTTGTTTCCTTCTCACCAAGCTTCTTGCTGATAGTCTTGCAGCCCATTCCAGCCTTGTGCAGGTCTACAATCTTGTACCGAACGTCCTTTGACAGCTCTTTGGTCTTGCCCATGGTGGTGAGGTTTGAATGGAAGAAAGAGATTGTGTACAGGTGTCTTTTATATACATAATGAGTTGTGGTTAGGAGCACCTTCCTAAATTGACAGGACTCATCTGTGTACCACATCATAATTGTAGATAGATCTAAGTGGAGACATGAACTCTGGGATGGATTAGAGATGACACTCCGGGCTGTACAGACATGGATGGATTAGGTACATAGACAGCCTAGACATGGATATATTAAGTAAACAAGGATGGATTAGAGTGCATGATACCCTATAGATGTATAAAAGGATGGATTAGAGTACAATACCCTATAGATGTATACAAGGGTGGATTAGAGTACAATACCCTATAGATGTATACAAGGATGGATTAGAGTGCAATACCCTATAGATATATACGAGGATGGAGGAGAGTGCAATACCCTATAGATGTATACAAGGATGGATTAGAGTACAATACCCTATAGATGTATACAAGGGTGGATTAGAGTACAATACCCTATAGATGTATACAAGGATGGATTAGAGTGCAATACCCTATAGATGTATACGAGGATGGAGGAGAGTGCAATACCCTATAGATGTATACAAGGATGGATTAGAGTGCAATACCCTATAGATGTATACAAGGATGGATTAGAGTGCAATACCCTACAGATGTATACAAGGATGGATTAGAGTGCAATACCCTACAGATGTATACAAGGATGGATTAGAGTGCAATACCCTATAGATGTATACAAGGGTGGATTAGAGTACAATACCCTATAGATGTATAAAAGGATGGATTAGAGTACAATACCCTATAGATGTATACAAGGGTGGATTAGAGTACAATACCCTATAGATGTATACAAGGATGGATTAGAGTGCAATACCCTACAGATGTATACAAGGGTGGATTAGAGTACAATACCCTATAGATGTATACAAGGATGGATTAGAGTGCAATACCCTACAGATGTATACAAGGGTGGATTAGAGTACAATACCCTATAGATGTATACAAGGATGGATTAGAGTACAATACCCTATATATGTATAAAAGGATGGATTAGAGTGCAATACCCTACAGAAGTACACAAAGATGGATTACAGTACATGATACCCTATAGATGTATAAAAGGATGGATTAGAGGGCACAATACGTTATAGATGTATATAGGGATGGATTACAGGGCATGGTACCCTATAGATGTATGCAAGCATGGATTAGAGTACATGATACCCTATAGATGTATATTATGTATACAGGGATGAATTAGAGGGCATGGTACCCTATAGTTGAGGATTATTGGGGAGGTACAATGCTGTATCGCCATGGTAATATTATATATACAGATGAGAATTATTGGGGGATGTACAGAAGAGGATTATGGGGGAGGGAGTACAGTTATGTATAGACATGGAATTATATATATTATATACTACGTGAAGATCACCGATCTGTGCAGTGTGGACAGATAGACGGACTGATGGATGGACAGCACTGCGCCTGCGCACATGCAGCGGCGTGTAACGGCTGTGATCATCCCGGTTTCCCTCCCCCACTACCTATGCCCATCCCCGGGCATCATCTCCCCTGTGGCCGGCTCACCTGCGGGGCCCCCGGATCCCGGTGTGTGAGCGATGGAGGAGCTGGCGGTGGGAGAGCCTTCCTCCACCTCCTCCTCCTCCCAGCAGCGCTGACTGCGATCCCCCCTCCAGCCCTGTTCGCACTATCACAGACCCGCTCACCGATTGGGGGAAAGCGGGCGGAGGATCGGCCAATAGCCAGCCCAGCGCAGACCCCGCCTCTGACGTCACAGAGGGAAAGGGCGGGGCAATGGCGGCTCGCCGTGATTGACATGCGGGGTGCTACTAACTGTCCGCTGGTGGGGAGGCGGCGGAGGTGACCGGCGAGGGCTTTGCTGTGATGGGAGGATGCTGAGCCCGGGGAAAGGAACTGTCCGTCACCGGGAAGACGTTCCACCTTGTTATGTACTATCACTGTGCATGCAAAAGGGTTCTAGAGCCACAAGTGTCAACGTTTCCATGTTGACAGAGGTCTAGAGCCTCAACTGTCAATGTTCCTCTATTCTCAGGGTTCTAGAACCTCAACTGTCAATGTTCCTCTATTCTCAGGGTTCTAGAACCTCAACTGTCAATGTTCCTCTATTCTCAGGGTTCTAGAACCTCAACTGTCAATGTTCCGTTATTCTCAAGAATCTAGAGTCTCAAGTGTCAACACTTCTGTAGATATTTGCGTGTCAATGATCCCCTGTTGGCAATGTTCTAGAGCCTGAAGTGCCAGTGTTCCACTATTGTCAGGGTTCCAGAGCCTCACGTGCCAATGTTCGGATATTGTCATTGATCTAGAGCTTCAAGTGTCAATGTTCTGCCATTGGCATGGATCTAGAGCATCAAATGTCAATGTTCAATCATGTGCAAGGTTATAGAGCCTAAAGCGTTTATGTTCTGCTATTTGAGGGGTTCTGGTGCCTCAAATGTTAATGTTCTGCTATTGGAGGGGTTCTAGTGCCTCAAGTGTCAATGTTCTGCTATTGTAGAGAGTCTAGTGCCTCAAGTTCTGCTATTGGAGAGGTTCTAGTGCCTCAAGTGTCAATGCTATTGTAATGTTCTGCTATTGTAGAGAGTCTAGGGCCTCAAGTGTCTATGTTCTGCTATTGGAGAGGTTCTAGTGCCTCAAGTGTCAATGTTCTGCTATTGGAGAGGTTCTAGTGCCTCAAGTGTCTATGTTCTGCTATTGGAGAGGTTCTAGTGCCTCAAGTGTCAATGTTCATTTATTGGCTGGTTTCTAGAACCTCAAGAGATCCACCATTCATCAAAGGTCATTGCCCATGTTATAGAGTCTTGGGTGTCACCTCTTGTAAAGTGTCTATGTTCTGTAACCTCAAAGAAGGTACATGGAGGATCTCTGCACCGACCTCCACCCCAAACCCCCCCACCACCACTACCACCAGGAGAAAGAAGAGGCACCTGAATACCAGCTAAGTGCACTGTAAGTCCCTTTTCTTTCTTCCTTACACTGTGCGTCACTCTGACCCTACGCTGAGCGTCACTCTGCTCCTGCGCTGAGCGTCACTCTGACCTCTGTGCTGTGCGCCACTCTGACCTCTGCTCTGTGCGTCACTCTGACCTCTGCGCTGTGCGTCACTCTGACCTCTGCGCTGTGCGTCACTCTGACCTCTGCGCTGTGCGTCACTCTGTCCTGTGTGTTACATTACTGACCTTTGCGCTGTGCGTTACATTACTGACCTCAGCAGTGTGCGTTACATTACTGACCTGGCGGAGTTAAGGCCGGGGCAGGGTAGGGGTTAGGTGAGGCAACTGGTGGCGAGTAACTTTTAAGGCCTGGCTAGTAGCTCAGGACTTGAAATTTTGAGCCCTGATCTAGAACCTCCGATGTCAGTGTTCCACCATTGTCAGGGTTCTAGAGCATCAGGTGCCAGTGTCACATGTTCTGCATGAGGAAGGGGATCCTGCGAGACCTCGAAACGTTGCACCAGTGTGATGTGCTGCATCTACGTCAATAAATAGAGGCATTTGATCTGCAATTGGAGTGCCGGTATCTCATTTCTACTTGTGCCCATGATGGCTGCCATCCGTCCTTCACAACAGCACCAACCAAGTATTGTTTGGATGAAGCGGTCAGGAGTGCGATGGGTTCATAGACTCTTTCAGCTGCACGCGTTTCACAGTTATTTGGAAGTGGAAACAATTCAATCCCCACACAGCTACCTCCTCATGTATCATTTCCCCCTCCCTTTCAGATTGTAAGCCCTCAGGGACAGGGCCCTCCTTACCATCTTGTCTTGAATTGTATTGCGATTGTAATGTCTTCCTTATATTGTAAAGCGCTGCGCAAACTGTTGGCTCTATATCAATACTATGTAATAATAAGTGGAAAGAGAGCGCTGGACCCGCGTGATTGTTCTGTTTATCGTCTATTAGTGGTCAAGTGATACGAATCGTTGTAATCTGGCTAATGGATTGGCAGCTATCGCTGGCCTAAAGGTCTTCATAGTATCCTTGGCTTAACAGTGGACACAGTAGATGTAGCAACTGAAGAGCCACACCAATTAAAAGAGTCCAAATTCAACTTTATTCCACTAGGGTCAGAGAACAAGTGAGTAACCATGACGTTTCCAAAACACACCCCCTTCATCGAGGCTTAATGAGAGGAATCATGTACTGTATGTGGACTACAATCCCTGCAGCGTGCAGATTTGTATTAAACTGTGATAAGAATTCTTCAGGCAAGTAAGCAGCTGGTGTACCTGTCAGTAGATCCTTACATGCTCTTCCGCTTATCCATACCCTTTGTCAGCGTTCTAGAGCCTCAAATGCCAGTATTCCACTATTGGCAGGGTTCTCGAGCTTTAAGTGTAAGTTCTACTATTGGCAGGGCTCTAAATCGTCAGGGTTCCACTGGTGGCAGGTTATAGAGCCTCAAGTACCAGTGTTCAACTATTGGAGGGGTTCTACAGCCTCAAATGTCAGCGTTCCAACTTTGGCAAGGTTCTAGAGCTCCAAAGCGTGAGGTTTTCACTTTTGGCAGGGTTCTAGAGCCACACGTGATCTACCACGTAATCTGGGGTCATTTGCCAGTGTTCTAGATTCTTAAGTGTTCTACCACGTATCCAGTTTGGGGGGTTGCCACTGTTCTAAAGCTTCTGGTGTAATTGTTCCACTATCGGCAAGGTTGTGGAGCATTACGTGTCAACGTTACCCTATTGGCAGGGTTGCAGAGCCTCAAAATGTTGATGTTCTACCACATATCCAGGGTCAGAGCCGGTGTTCTTAAGCCCCAGGAGTTAGTGTTCAACTATCCAAGTTCGTTGCTGGAGTTCTTGAGCCTCAATATTCTACCACTTTTCCCAAGTCCTAGCTATTGTTCTAGTGCCCCAATTGTTGGTGTTCTACCACCTATGCGGAGTCATTGTCAGCTTTCTCAGGCTATACAGTACATGTCCTAGAACCTCAGGTGTTTCCGTTCTTTTTCTTTTCAGGAGTCTTTGATCACTTTTTATACTTTCACGTGTCAGTGTTCAAGCACTTCTCTGGGATTATTGCCATGGTCCCAAAGCCTCAAGTATCACTTCAATGTTTTACACTTATCCTGAGTCACTGCTCGTATTCTAAAGGTTCTTGTGTCAGTGTTCAACCAGTTATCTCGAGTCGTTGCCAGTTTTCCCGAACCTCAGCTGTCATTGTTCTACTGCTTGTCCGGTGTCATTTCTAGAGTTCCAGAACCTGAAGTTTCAATGTTCCATCACTTATACAGTGCCATTGCCAGGGTCCTAAAACCTCAAGTACCACTTATCCTATGTCATAACCAGTGCTCTAGAGCCTCAAATGGCAGTGTTCAACCACTTATACAAGGTCATTGCAAGTGTTCTAAAACCTAGAATTGTCTGGAATCCTTATCTACAGTAACTATGTGTATGAGGTATCACATTTAAACATGTGCCTCTACATAAACACGCAGTTTAACAGGAGCTCATCTATATCTTTATCGGGGGGGGGGTCATGTGTGAGGCAATTTATGGGAAGAACATTCAATAGTACATAGTTTCCTGTGGAGAAAAGTTTAAAACTATACTTGTCTTACCCCCCACTTCCCCCCAGGAGAGACTAACATCCTAGACCTTCCATCAAGATCATTGGAACCCTGGATACTCCAACTCACAAGAAGATGCTCCAGTGGGGTCGTTTTGCGAAATTTGGGATATTCAGCATTCCCAGGATCTTGCCAGAAGATTATAACATCACCCTCGCTTAGGCCAGGATGAATCATGAAAAGAATATAATAAGAAGAATATATATTGTAGTATATATAGATATAGGACTGTGTGTGTGTATAAATAAGATGTATAAATCCAATGGTGGACAAAGAACTCAGAAAACAGTTGAAAGTGGCCGGGTAAATACAAGGGGTTCATTGGAAGAGGCACTTAGGGGTCTTCTTTACAGGTCATGTTTGGACATGGCACTGTTTGAGAAAGACAAGGCTGGCCAATAAATTTATGTTGTTACAATACAAGACCCGTGAGTGCCCCTTCCACTGGAATATACACTGAGTGGCCAGATTATTATGACCACCCCATCAGTACTTCGTTGGGCCAAGAGATAACTCCACGAGTTGACTTTGTGGGGCCGCCTCGTGACTCCACGAGATGACTTTGTTGGGCCGCCTCGTGACTCCACGAGATGTTGAAAGGTGATGCGCGGAATCTGACACTGCACTGTTGCCCTTCTGTTGTCTTGTACCAGTCTTGCCACTCTCCGTTCTGCCCTAACATTGACTAGTCGCTGACGGCCACAATTCGCATGTTCAGACCCAGATTTTCGGCTGACAGTCCAGTCTTTAAACACTTTAACAATGAGCCCCTCCTGAACATTTAACAAATTCTGCTGTTTTGTTGATACCCGCTCCATGGCTCCGAGCACCAACAATCATCCCACGTTCAAAGGCTGTTAAATCGCATTGTTTACCCATATCTTCAGAAACAAATCACTTCTACTGTCGTGGTAAACAACCTGCTTCCCTATTTATAATGGTCTGGCCCTCTAGCAACTTCAGCGCCAAATTATAGCTAATTTTCCTACAAACGTCAGGTGTGTGTGTCTTTAGAACATCCATATTGCATTGTGACCTCAGTGTCATAGCTGTGCCTTGTATTAAATGTTTATTTGTAAAATGAAGATTTTACATTCTGTGCATAATAAAAATATATATATTTATGATATATTAAAATT